TTACACTTATCAAAAATCCAAAAATCCCTTAAAATTATGTGTCAATCACTTGATTTTGATAAGTGTAACCCCCTTAACAAATATTCATGAATATGATGATTGTGATCACTAGTTGTTGATCGATCAAATAATCTTTTTTATAGAAAACATGTTGATGCAAGTTAAAAACTTAAAGAAAAAAAAACAAGCTACAGTGAACCCTCTATAAGTGCACCCCCTCAGGAACATAGTGCTATTTCTTGTGAGTGTGCATTTATGGAGGGTATACATAGTGTGTGCATTTAGGGAGGGTTCACTGTAGCAAATTAGCTGATGGGAATAAGTAAGTATTGTTTATCGTAAGAATGGTGGTGGTGGTTATCTATATAGTTATTAAATTTGCAACTCATTATAACAATAATATTTTCTTTTCTTTAAAAAAATGCCTCCTAAAAAAATTTTAACAAAAAGAAATAATTTGAAAGCTGCTAGAAATGACAAGGAACCCATCAAAGTATGTTAGTAAAAGATGTTGTATATATTCTTAACATTATTATATTATTATTAATTTTTTCCTTGTCTGCATTTTGTTAATAAAGGAAAAAAAATCAAATCAAATACAATCTTTTAATAAATTAAAAAATATAAAGAATAATTTAGTAGCCTATAATGTGATATCATTATTTGATAGGGAGTTTTTATATACGAAAAAACTCTTTACTACATTCCCAGATGAAATGAAAACATTTATGCAAAGATGGAATGAGGCAAGACATTTTACATATCAAATAAAGGTTGTAGACATCATCTTTAATAGAAATATTTTTTTTCTAACAATTAGGCTGAAAGATCAATTAATGAAACAATCAAATTAAATAATTTTAAAGCAAAGTCATTGGTTAACAAGTATCATAAAATCATAAAAAAGTATCTGGATAATGCTGATCTTGTCATTGATCTTCAACCTATTCTCACAGAATTGTATGAAAAAGCCCCTTTTACAAATTATGTACATAAAAATGACTATGAATCACTTTGGTGCCAAAGAATTTATGTTATTTTGTAGGTTTTGTGAAAATTTTCATCTTTTGATTTTTGGCATCATTTAATCATTTATTCACAATATTATTTTCACATCAGTGTCACCCAATTTATTAGAAAAAAGGGATCATTACTCAATAGCAGTTCATCAGAACTAAAATATAGAGAAAAAATTATATTGTATTTGCAGAAGTATTTCATGATGTTGAATGTTTGTTTTGGATGGAAACGTAAGTGATTTTTGTGAATTCTTAATTATATGAACCTAAATTTTTTACATGTTTTACATATTTTGTACTAGTGGTGAACTGGAAAATTTAATGAATAAGTTACAGAAAAATGAAATCAATAAGGAGAATGAAAATCAGAAAATTGGTTTAAGCATGACGGAATTATCTACCTTAATTTACATGGAGAAAATGTGCAAGTTGGTTTTATTGAAGTAGCCGGGAATTCATTTAATAAATAAAAATGAAGATTTGGAAAAATTAATGAAAGGCATGGTTTAAACTAAACTTGATGTTTTCAAGACTAATGGCTATAGCTAGCAAGTTTAAACACACAATAATTGATTGCATTTGTTTGTGAATTATAGCTATGTCACTGTCAATTTGGAATCAACATGAACATACATATGCTTCTAAGGAATTCTTCTATCTTATGAAGGATCATCCATTCATTGACTAATGATTATTTTATTTATTTTGAATAGGTAAAAAAGTTTATCTATTAGCTATGTATTCAATTGAGGAACATAACATCGTCAAAAATTTTGATGAATTTATATTTCCATTATCTGAATTATGTCTATCAAGGGTACAAGAGTTCATATTTATAATCATAAAATTTAAAGTAAGCTTTCCATAACTTTTCAATTGTTCACAACTAACTTTACAACTAACTTCACGGTTAACTCCACATAGATGCGAATTATGAAATCAGGAATTAATCAAACTTCCTAGAAATATAACAAGACTACCAGATTCTCTTCCCCCTCCTATAGTACCAGTACCTACACAAAAAAAAAGACAGAAAACAAAGCATATTCGATAAATTCAAATTATTAGAAAATCATAGTATTTTATGCAGTAATGTCTTTCATAAATCAATTTCCTTTTTTTTATTAGTTAAATTATGTCAAAAATCACCGATCGGGAATTTTTTAACTCAGCCTGGCTCTAGTTTGGATTTTTTTAAGCGTTTGTTTATTTTTTCTCTGGTTATATTGTCATCAGGCATTTTAGTTTTTTTAGTTATATATAATTTTATAATATACTAATGGTGAATTTTTTAATTTCATATAAACACTATACACTATCATGTTAGCAAATCTTGAAACTTAGTAGTAATTAAACTTAAATCATTTTAACAAATAATTCTTTCAAAATAAATAATGATAAATAAGCTATGACAATTCATTTCAAACTGGCATTAGTGTCATCAGATTTTTGGGTCTGATTCATTTCGTCGACAATCATTTCGTCGACAGTCATTTCGTTGAATGTTCATTTCGTCACAAAAAAAAAAACTTCATTAAACAAATTTCTCCTCACACTTCCCACACACTCCGCTTTCCTCAACTAATTTCTTAACTAACTTCCCACACTCCTCACATATAACTCGTTTTGTCTCTGGCTCGATGATGAAACAATTTTTGATGAAATGAACATTCGACGAAATAAACATTCGACGAAATGATTGTCGACGAAATAATTTTCGACGAAGTAAACGCGACCGAGATTTTTGATGGTCAAAAGTCAAAATTAATTGTGATATTATATATTAAAAACATAAGTGTAATGCACCTTTATGACATATTTGGGCTGCATGTATAGCCTTGTTCCTTCTTCAAAATACTTCTGATGGTGCTGTAATTCTTTGGTTCCATGGTGGACCTAATGTAAATTAGCTTCATATTAGCTATTTTTATATAGGAGCAGTTCTATATATCACTTAACAAATGAGACATTACAAATGACTAAATTTTGATCCCTATATTATTATGATTACTACTATTATTTGCATATTAATATTATTTGTTGACTAAAAAATTGATTCATTGTGGTTTTGCTTCATTGAATTTATCTTTTTTAAATGAATGCATCGCTCAAGGGCATTAACTTGTTTCAATTGTTCTTTAGAATTTTCTTGTTGTAGTAAAAAGAATGGATAATTTCCAAGCTTTTTGAAGCTTCACTCGCACTTATTATCATGGTTCATGGAATCAGATAAAGTTGCTTTTACTTTTTGCAGGTATGTTGTTTCAAAGGTAATAAAAAAATATAATATGGTAGCAATTGTGAGTGCAAAATTAAATGTTTAAATAATGGTAAATTATTAAAACTTGTGATAAGTGTAAATGAGTTGTTTTTAAATTTTTTGCCTATAAAAGATCCGCCATCTGTGTTCTTATTTTAATAACCTTTTTTTTTATCAATTAAAAAGAAAGAATGCTTAATTCTTTGTAAAGAACAAATAATATAATTAATTCTTTATTTTGTTTTCCATTACTGTTACTACACAAAAAAATTCATGACCTTATCCTTTGTTTAATCCTTAATTTTTTGATTTCGCCTATTACTATAAGTTTTCCATTTGCATTTTTGTCATTGTATTATTCTAATAACTCTTTTCAAATTAAAAAGAAAGAACTATCAAACATTTGTTTAACTCTTTTCAAATTAAAAAGAAAGAACTATCAAACATTTGTTTAACTCTTTGTGAGTAACAGTAGCTTACTCAATCCATTATTAATATTAAATAGATAACATTTGAACATAACATGAATTTATTTAACAAATTAATCATATCACGGTGTGCATTTAGAGAGAGTGGTTTTATATGAACAGGGATGGAGGAGATTGTGCATGAAGGCTGTGCATTTATCTCAAACTCCTGAGGTTGAGAATCAGACATAGTGTGCAATTATGTAAGTGTGCATTTATAGAGGGTGCACTTATGGAGGCTCACTGTATCTTTATCAACAAAGAAATAACTTTCCAAGCAGGTTAAATGCTATTTATTCATGAATATTCTATGACTTTTTTTAGTTGATGGATTTATCATTGCCTACTTTAACAGTTACCTGTTGTTGCACCTTCTGAAAAATCCAAGTCATTATTAGTGTTTGTCATCATAATACCTTTAATTCATAAAGTAATTCATAAATTTCATAAACTTCATACATAATATCTCAGGCTAGATCTCAGATTCCAGATCAGATCAGATTCAATATTAAAGAACCAGATCAGATCCAATATTTTAAAGAACCAGATCAGATCAGCTTAAACAGATTTCAGATCAGATCAGATTTCTTCCAAATCTATTCTGTTTGGAGCCTTATGCAAGTCATTTTTATGGAGTTTAAATCGGCTGATGAGAAGGCCCAACTGCAGTGGATGGGTTGTCTTATAATATCCATTTCTGTAGCTTGTACTTTTGCGAACTTTTTATTTTTGCTTTCTTAGAAAGAAGTGATGTTGGAATTTGAAGGAACAGGTCTTCACCATCTTCAAACAACTTTGTCAACTGTGCAAGAAAACAAAATTTGAACTATACATTTTATAAACAGAATGCCTCAAAAGTCAACAATGAAGAAAAAACTGTGTCTCTGACACCAACAAAAAAGGTGAGTTGGCTCACATATAATTTTTGTAAACCAAAATAGATTGCTGTAGAGGTATGTGCATTCAACACATAGCATGCTTTGTAATATAGTGGAAAGATTTAATTGATGGGGGGAGTAAACTGCAACATCTTCATTCAACCAGACAATAGGCAGCATTGACATGATTCGAAATAAAAAGAACTCAAAAATACACAAGATTCATAATGAACCTGAAGCTTCTAGCAATGATTACAATGAAGCAGGGTTGGCAATAGACTAGGTCCATTGAGACCAATGAGTTCTGGTATGGTCCATTGAATGTTACACCAATGAACCAGTACCATGGCATAAACTATTCTTCCTAGAAATTAAAATTATGTAAAACACTGGACCAATTTTTAGCTGAAATGTGTGTAAATATTTTAACCAAAAAAAACCTGTTGTTTGCTGCTAGGTTATGAGCTGAGACCTGGTGATTTACAGAACCATATTTAGAAGGTTGGTTTAAAACCAATATTTGGAGTACTGTTTGCTGATGGCTGTTTCATAGACATCGATGGATCTTGGTAAAGCTATCTTCTATGCAAAAAAACATATTGGGGACCAAAGAATCACATTCCTTTAAGAACCAAGGGAATGGGTTTAAGTCTTCATGTTGGTGATTTTTTAACTGAAGCAAGAGGATGATTAAAATTTGTATTTATTTATTCATGCCTTCACAGATTCAAAACAAGGCAATTCCGAAAATATAAAGAAGCCATTTTCTCAACTGAATTGTTATTATAATATACTTAATTTTATTGTTTGTCCATTCTTTTAATGATAGCAATGTGTAATTGAATAATGATTTAACAAAAAAGTCAATGAATGATAAATGAAAAATTGTTTGTGCAAATTATTGCTTTAAAAAAAAAAAAAAAAAAAAAACAAAGAAAAAAATGAATGCTAGCTAACATATTGTTATAATTACAAAATTGCTTGATGATGATGATAATGATAATTACCTGCAAAAGAAAGAAATGAAAACCGAAAATTGTGAAAATTTTCTATCCCACCCATTTCTATCCATTCCCTTGCTTCTATATGCTTTTGTATATTTTTTTCCTTCTAAGTCTATCTAAATCTTTCTATTCTTATAAATCTTTTCTTCTTTTGTGTTTATCTGTCTATTTATTTCCACACCTTTAATTTTAAAAGAAAATCTACATCATAACATCATCCTCTGCAACAACAACTAGTTCAGTATTGACTTCGACTTCTTGCAATCTAACCTCAAAAGTTTTAGCCGGTAGAGAATGTTGGCGCAGTTTCACACCTGCACTTTTTAATAGTTGTGAAGTTTTTTCATCCATTCGATATGATCTTAAAAAATTTGGTGTTTTTAGTAGAGCTTTAAAATTAATTTATAAAAAAAAAAAGAAAAAAGAAATCGTTAATTACCGGTTATAAACAACCTCTTTTACTCCTATTTGAATCAATTTCACAGTACATCCTAAAACAAATTCATAATGGTTGTTTTTTTTTGTTTAATTATTGTGTAAGTAATAATTCAGAAAAATTTACAATAATACCTAAACATGGACATCTAAAATATAAGTAAAAGTATGAATGAGTGTACATTACTATTGTTGTTGTAGTTGTTGCTATTATTATTATTAACATCGACATTATTTTTTATGATTTAAATTCTTAAATACATGTAAACACTTACGTATTACAATAAAGTATACACTCATCGCCCCTCTCTTTTCCAGCTTCTAATAATGCATTTTCTTCTGCATGTAAACAAAGACACTTGTCCAATCCGGTTCCACAAGGTGCTGCATCATTACACCGATCACATCCACCCTGATTACAATTCTTCAAACCTCTTGGTGTTCCATTATAACCGGTAGAAATTATCCGGTTATTTCTAACCAAAATACAACCAACTTTGCGTTTCATACAATTAGATCTTTTAGCAGCAAGTTCTGACAAATGTATGAAATAAGTATCCCATGATGGACGTAACCTTTCTTGATTTGTTATGTCAAGACTATGAAGATAAGTGAAGAAAGCTTGCGTGGTTAAAAATGAATTAATGATGTTTAAATCTGCGTTAGCAATCAAATTATAAATTGCTGTATATTTTTCTTCGGTGATGATTGAACCAAATGATTTGCCTCGATCATTTCTGTATAATTCTGAAATTTCCATGTTTGTTGGATGTATTTTTTGAAAAAGCAATCGATCATTTTCGGTTACAAATTGCTCTAATGTAGGATATACTTGTCCATTAGATTGACAACTTTTTAAAAATTTTAATTGGGGAAAAGAAATTAATGCTCTCTCTAGAGAATTTTGATCATGGTGATGATAATGATAATATGATAATGATATGATAATGATAATTACCGTTCAACACATCTTTGATATCTAATTGTTATAGGAGCATCAACTGATACTAACAAGAAGAAAGGTCGTTTTCTAATGCAAATTAATTGACATAACTAATGAGTTCTTTATGATTTAATTAAAATGTAAACAAATAATTTATTTTCTTTGTTACCTACCTGTATACTTCTAAAATGGTATTATTGTATATTTCATAAGTTACAAAGTTATCTAACCAGTTTTTTGTAACATATAACAGAACATCTTCTGCTGAGTCAAAATGTAATGCATTTTGAACATATTGATCATCTTTTTTTAGAGATAATAAAGTGAAGCCATGAACTGTCACAAGCCAATTAGCAACTGTACGTTTTCCTGAGCAACTTGGACCAGCCATGCCAATAAACATTTTTTTTTTTCTTTTAAATAATTTATTATATATAAAATATTAAAAAGCGTGTTTCTATGCAAAATGTTTCCGTTTTTGGTTACACCAAAAAATATAATAATAATAATAACTAAATAAAAATATTCCGTTTTTAAAAACAAACGTATTCATTCATAATTATTAAAAATGACTTTTACACCACTACCACCGCCACACCCATCACCATCACAACTTCGAATTGTTAATTCGTGCAGTATTTTTGAAGCCCATCATGTGGATACACAGAGCACTTTTGAACTTGAAATCTTTATAATTTTATATAAAGAATAATTCTTTGAGATTGAACAATTATAATTAAAAATTTATTGCAATTTTAATTTGAGTAACTATATAATAGTAAATTATTATCAAAGGAGAACCATTCATTCCTTTGTATTGAGTATGCCTCCACTTAAAAAAAGGAGAATCATTTAAATAACTTGCTTCTGAGGAGAAAAAAGTTTCTTTTAAAAGTTTTTCTTTATGATAATGAGAATAATAAAAATGACAACGATGGTAATGAAAGTGATACTAATCAAGTGATAATGAATCAAGTAGTGATAGTGATAGCAAGGTAAGTTGGCTGGATACTGATTTAGATTCTAATTGCAGTTATTTTATGAAGGTCCTTCAAGATGAGTGAATAATTATAAGCCTTCTGCATGTCATTCTGTTTTTTTACTTGGAAATGTACCATGAATTAGATGACTTCATGCCACACAAGCTAAAAAAATGGCAGAAGATAATGGTCAAACAAACAACCAATTATTTAAATAAAATAAAACTTCCAAAAAATCAAACCTTTTTTTTATTATTATAATAAATTTCGTGATGATCTCCCTTCCAATAACATTCGTGATCAAGGCGCGAATGCGTGATCAAAAAATATCAAAAGTATCGGATTAAAAAAAAAAATTCTTAAATAATAATAAAGTGGGTTTCTATTCGAATAAGGTTTATTCGAATTCTCCGTTTTATTCGTTATTATTGTTATGAATTTGAATATTCGAATTAGATTGAAAATTATCCAAATAAAATAATTTGAATAAAATATTTTTTCTATTTTCCTTCGTAGTCCTTGTATATAGTGTTAATAATAATAAATGGTGGCAGCAGAAGTAATTGACCATTTTATTTTATTTTCTTAAGTCATAGTACTAGTAACCATAGTAATAGTAATATAGATTATAAATATAATTATTGTAATTTATATTATCTTGTTAGAGGAAATAAGGCCTTATTGATAATTTTACAATTTCATTAACAATAACAACGACAACAATATAGAATTTGTTACATCAAGTTGTGGATTGATATTTTATATTTTATAAAACGAATAAAACGAATAAACGAGTAATTCGAATAAACGCGAATCGTACGAATAAACGAATAATACGAATTATTCGAATAAAATGAAATAATAATGATTCAAATAAGAAACTCTAATAGTAATATAACAAGTAAAATTTTAATCTAAAAATTTATACACATCGGAAAATGGCCGATTCCAAAAATTTTTATCTGAACGCCCGGAATTTTATAATAGTAATAGTAATAGGATTTCAAGAGTATATATATATAATAAACACTATATAGTAATTTCATAGTAATAGGTAGGGATGTTAATCAGTCCTTTTGGGACCGGGTCCTGAACAGTCTGGACCGGACTTTTTCAGGTCCAGTCCTACCATTTGGGACTTAAAGTCCCAAAAGGTCCCTGTGTAACAAATGATAAAA